GCAAATAAAGGTCTGAAAGAAATAATACAACACTGTCTCTGGAAATACAAGAAAGAAACAGGAATAATAGCTAGAGGGAGGTGCCAAGGCCTGCGGACGCCTGCAGGACTACCTTGGGTCGCTGATGGACCAGAAGCAGCAACCTCACTGTGGTCCGAAATCTACAATACTAGGATCTGCACAAAAGAGTGCAGAGTGTAGTATCAGCACAACCGACCCCATGTGCTGTAAAGTGCCTAGCCTAACCTCGGCGAAGTAGTGACGAGGCTAGGACCAGACTACCAAAATAAACCCGTGCAGTTAAATCATATACAGTGAAACAATACAAGCAGAAATGTACAGCTAAGGATGGGAAGGGGAAAACATGCTGCGGGGGCATCGAATAAAAACAGAAGAACAACAAATAAATATAAGGATCACCACAGTTCAATTGAAGATAGGAAGGGGGATCATGCTGCGGGGTACAACAAGTATCAACAGAAAACCAACAATTAAATGTAGAGAAACCATAACTCAGTTATCAATAAAAATCAAGAAATGCAAAGACAAGTGCACGACATCACCCTTCGTGCTTTAACACTCTCTCACCAAAACAATGCACGGCATCACCCTTCGTGCTTTAACACTCTCTCACCAAAACAATACACGGCATCATCCTTCGTGCTTTACACTCTTCCTCACCCAAGCAACAATCACAAGCAATTTGGGCAAAGGAATCGATAACATCACAATAAAATCAAGTAACAACAGGAAATCAGTAAGTAAACCTAAAGAACACCATAACTCAATCACCAGTAAAAAATCAGGAAAATCAAGGACAAGTGCACGGCATCACCCTACGTGCTTTTACTCTCGTCCTCACCATGAAAATCAGTATAATTGGCACGGCATCACCCTTCGTGCTTTTACCTCACATAATCACTCATATAAAGGCACGGAGTGGTACATCATGCGGCACGGCATCACCCTTCGTGCTTTTACACTCTTCCTCACAAAATCATATACGGCATCACCCTTCGTGCTTTAACTCTTCCTCACCCAAACAACAAATACAAACAATAAGGGCAAGGAATTAAATAGAATCACCATAAAATCCCGGGAAGGGAACAACATTAAAAGCAATAACATCTCGGCAAGGGTACAATATTAAAAGCAACAACATCCCAGCAAGGGTACAATATTAAAAGCAACAACATCCCGACAAGGGAACAATGTCAAAATCCTTTTCTCTCTTTCACATTTACTTCACAACTCGATTCACAATTTGAGCCAATGCTCTATAAGGTTCAATTGCCAATTACACTTCCACAAATTACTTTACCACTTGAGCCAACGCTCTTCACTGTTCAAATACCAATACTCTTTCCACAAACCTTGCTCAACAATAGCAATCATCACATTAAACATGAACAATACAAATGGAGTTACATTAATCATAACATAAGACTCACGGGCATGCTTGAAACCAACGTATAGATACTCGTCACCATGCCTATACGTCGTACTCAACAAATAGCACATAGCAAATAGGACACAACTCCTAATCCCTCAAGCTAAGGTTAGACCAAACATTTACCTCGATGGCACGAACACAGTTCAAGCCTCAACTATCGCTTTACCTCTTGATTCCACCACCAATTCGCTCGTATCTAGTCACAAGTTACTTAATTACATCAATAAATACTAAATGAATCAATTCTAATTCATGGAAATAAGTTTTCTAAAGTTTTTTCCAAAAAGTCAAAAATCGACCCCGGGCCCACATGGTCAAAACTCGAGGTTCGAACCAAAACCCGACTACCCATTCACCCATGAACTCAAATGTATAATTTGTTTTGAAATCGGACCTCAAATCGAGATCCAAATCCCCAAAATTTGAAAAACCTAGGTTCTACCCAAAACACCCAATTTCCCCCATGAAAATCATTGATTTTGAGTTGAAATCATGTGAAAAGATGTTAAGGATTGAAGAAAACTAGTTAGAAATAACTTACGATCGATTTGGAGAAGAAGTTGCCTTTGAAAAATCGCCCTAGAGTGTTTATGTTTTGAGAAGATATGAAAAATGGTTGAAAATGCGTCTAAGTGTGGATTTACAGGTCTCTGATGTCGCAATTGCGACCAGGGTTCGCAATTGCGAACCCAGACTCTGCTATGCTCGCATTTGCGAAGTGACTTTCGCATTTGCAAAGTCGCTTTTGCGATAAATCTGTCGCATTTGCGACACTGGGGAAATCCGGGCCACTTCGCAAATGTGATGGCCCTTTCGCATTTGCGACATTGCATTTGCGATGACAGTTTCGCATTTGTGAGCCCAAGGCATACCAGGTCTCTTCGCATTTGCGATAAATTCCTCGCATTTGCGAGGTCGCATTTGCGAAGCCAGGCTTCGCAAATGCGAAGCCTGCAGACCTGCAACATACCAGCAAACTCCTTAGTCCAATTTCACTCCGTGGCCTATCCAAAACTCACCCGAGCCCTTGGGGCTCCAAACCAAACATGCATGCAAGTCCAAGAATATCATACGGACTTGCTCGTGCATTCAAATCACCAAAATAACATCAACAACTATGAATTTAGCATCAAAATCATGAAATCACTCAAGAACATCAAATTTTTTAATTTTCTCAAATAAGGTCCGATTCACGTCATTTCAAGTTCGTTTCTTACCAAATTTCACAGGATCGACTTAAATCATATATAAGACCTGTACCGGGCTCCAGAATCAAATACGAGCCCGATACCATCAAATTTCGAACACATTTCATTTTTAAAAACTCGTCTATTTTTCAGAAAACAATTTTCTTTGAAAATTCATTTCTCGGGCTAGGGACCTCGGAATTCGATTCTGGGCATACGCCCAAGTTTCATATTTTCTTACGGACCTCCCGGGATCGTCGGGACATGGATCCGGGTCCGTTTGCTCAAAATATTGACCGAAGTCAGCTTAAATTCATTTTAAAGGCAAAACTCATTATTTTTCACATATTTCATATAATGGCTTTCCGGCTACGTGCCCGGACTGCACACGCAAATCGAGGTGAGGTAAAAACGAGGTTTTTAGGCCTCGAAATGCTGAATTTATTTCTAAAATAAGTGATGACTTTTTGGGTCATCACAAGAAGTTTACAGAGTTTGTTGTTAGATGGTTAGAGAGAAGATGGAGCTTCTCTCTCTAATGACCTGAGCATGTCGGTCCGCTGAAAAGAGCTGTCATTGTCTTGTAGCCTTCCTAATATGATGTATAGACATGTCCGACACGCCATGGTTTCTTATCTGATCCGTCGTCGTTTGATTAATCATATATTCGTTTGGTAGAAATTTAGTCGAAGACAGTGTTTATTTCATAATATGATATATGTCTACTATATACTCTTATGTTATCGAAGTTGATTAATAGAGTATGTATTTTCACCTTATTTATTATCTATCATGATAAATATATTGGTTTGATATAGACATCGGATGTAGATAAATTTTTACCTATATATATTCAAAGACCATCTGTGACAAACTAATTTGTTAGCTAATGCTATTTGCTTAAAGGGGTATTTTAAGAAAAAAACCTTCGACCAAATTTGCTTTCTCAGTCATTGAGCTGTGCTCCAGGATACAATGGTAATAAACTATTTTATTTAATAAAGATGGTTTTGTTTGAGTGTATATATATATATATATTGAAGTCATCACCAGGTTTCGTTTTCACATATTGTCATTCCAATATATGGAATTAGAGCATCACCAACCTTTACCCCCATTTTGGGGACAACTTACTCCATCCATCCCCCAGTTTTTTCCCCAAAAGAGAATATTTTTTTTATATTCTTCTCTCTCTTCTATATTATATTATTATCTTTTCTATGAATTTTATTTTTTAATTTCCATTGAACAAATTCCATCTTTTATTTTTATTAATTTATAATTTCCATTAGAACAATTCCATAAAATTTTAAATAATATAAATTGTAAGCAATTATTATAGATTAACTAATAATTCAAATAAAAGTGAAATCATTGCGATACAAGATTAATTAAATACATATCACATAACGATAAAATTCATTCGAAATACTACATAAATATTCAACTTCAACCTCTAGTATTCTCCCATAAATGATCTGTTAATACATTACGAAGTGCAAAATGAGCATCTTTGTCCTTAATTCTTCTATGTCGAGCTAATATTTCTTGAAATCGTTGATTTTCATCTACTGCCATCTCTACTGTTGGAGGTGGACCTTCTAAATCATCTTGAATTGGTGCATTAAGATCACGTTCATTCTCGATTATCATGTTGTGCAGTATAATACATGTAGTCATTCTATCATGTAGCACTTCTTTTTGCCAAAAACGTGACGGTCCCGCAACATTTTCCTAAATGGTGTTCATTTTTATAGAGTGAAGCTTTATTCCGAAGATAAAATAGGATAAGGATAAAATCCATCGTACGGTTGAGTAACGAAATCCACTCGACGACTGAGATCAAAATAAGATCTATCATTTTGAATAATGTGTAGAGATATTTTATTTCAAAGATAAAATAGGATAAGGATAAACTCCATCGGACGATTGAGAATATAACGAAATCCACTCGACGGCTGAGATCAAAATAAAATCTATCATCTTGAATAATGTGTAGAGATATTTTATTCTGAAGATAAAATAGGATAAGGATAAGATCCATCTGACGGTTGAGATTAGAACGAAATCCACTCGACGGCTGAGATCAGAATAGAATCTATCATCTTGAATAATGTGTAGAGATATTTTATTCTGAAGATAAAATAGGATAAGGATAAAATCCATCGACGGTTGAGATTAGAACGAAATCCACTCGTCGGCTGAGATTAAAATAAAATCTATCCTCTTCTCATCTACTAAATTATTGTGTCTACTGAAATCTCTATATATTGAGGTGCCAACATAACCTTTTATAACCACAATTGGCTTATATTTTTCTTTAAATTGATAATTCACTTTTCCTCTAATCAGTTAAAAAAATGTCTATTCGATCTGCAGGATACTCTGTAAACGAAGATATTCTATTATGTAGAATGCATTTAGATGTTTCTCAAGATCCAATAACTGGTGTCAATCAATCCAGAGATCAATTTTGTGGTCGAGTCGTAGATGCATACAACAATACAAAGGAAGATTTTTGGGAGAGTCACACCAAGAAATCGTTGCAACACCGAATGCAAATGATTGAGAAGGCAATAAGAAAATTAAACGGATGTGTACGTCAAGTAGAAAATTTGCATCCTAGTGGTGCTTCTGAGCAGTATATTGTGAGTATTTATTTTGTAGTTACTTATAATTTATTTTTATATATATTTACTTAGTGTTTTTTCATTTTTTAAAAAATATTGCAGTGTACACAAGCAAAAGCTTTACTTATGCAAGATCCGAACTTCAAAAAGGGTTTTAAATTTGATCATGTGTGGGTTATAATGATGGAATTTGAGAAGTTTAACGATGTCGATTTTGGAAGGAAAAAACCAAGAAAGCAAGGCTATGATAATATATCATCGGAGTCTGAGAATCCTACCCCCGATTCACCCAATCTATCATTTCCTAACTTATCATTATGGGTCTTAGACTCCGAAGATATATTAGCATAGCCTTGCTTTCTTGGTTTTTTCATTCCAAAATCGCCATCGTTAAACTTCTCAAAATCCTTCATTATAGCCCACACATGATCAAATTTAAAACCCTTTTTAAGTTCGGATCTTGCATAAGTAAAGCTTTTTCTTGTGTAAGCTGCAATATTAAAAAGAAATTAAAAAAACAGTAAGTAAATATATATACAAATAAAGTATAAGTAACTACAAAATAAATACTCACAATATCGTACTCAGAAGCACCACTAGGATCCAAATTTTCTACTTGACGTACACATCCATATAATTTTCTTATGTCATGACCTGGATTTCGGGAATCGTGATAGCGCCTACTCGTGAAAGCTAGGCAAGCCGATAAATTCAATTTTATTACCATTATAATTAACCAAACAAGAATAGATAATAGTTAAAACAAGAAAATTAAGAAGTGCGGAAAATGATATAACAGTGCAACAACTCAGGTATATAACTACCCCATAGACCCGGTGTCACAATCCATGAACGACTAAGATTTACTACAAATACAAGTCTGAAAGAAATACAACTATTCTCTAAATAGAAGAGACATCAGAAAACTAAAGCGGGGAAAGGGGGGACTTCAGGCTCTGCGAATGCCAGCAGATCTACCTTGGTCTCCCTGGACTGAATACAGCTACCTCAAGCTACTCACAAGGTCCAACGCCGAAATTTGCACAACAAGTGCAGAGTGCAGCATCAGTACAACCGACCCCATGTACTGGTAAGTGTCGAGACTAACCTCGGCGACGTAGTGACGAGGCTAGGACACGACAACCATATAAACCTGTGCAATTAAATCATATACCAACAGAACAATAATAACAGGAAATAACAGATAAAGATGGGAAGGGGAACATGTTGCGGGGAATATCAAATTCTAACAGTAATTTAATAGGGAAGCATATGAACACCATATTTGTATCAACGGTAATAATGAAACAATAACACGTGCACGACATCACCCTTCGTGCTTTTACTCTCGTCCTCACCATAAGAAACAATAGAAACGGCACGGCATTACCCTTCGTGCATTAACTCTCATAATCATGGCATGACATCACCCTTCGTGCATTAACTCTCACAATATCGGTACGACATCACCCTTCGTGCATTAACACTCACAATATCGGCACGACATCACCCTTCGTGCATTAAAACTCACTCAGAATATCATGCACAACATCACCCTTCGTGCTTTGCACTCTTCCTTACCCAACAATAGAAACAATACATCCCGGCAAGGGAATCAGCAATAGAAACAATAATATCCCGATAAGGGAATCAGCTATAACCAATCTCGTTTCAACAGTTAATTTTATGAAATAAATCTCCGCTTGAGTCAATACTCACCAATGATCAAATACTCAAATATCATAAAACTTTCTCAACATATAGAAACATCATTTTAAACATGAACAGTACATAATAAGAGACATAACGGTCATAATATAAGATTCACTTGCATGCTCGACACCAATGTATAGGTACTCGTCACCACACTTATACGTCGTACTCAACGCTAACACGTAGCAAACAAGACCGCAACACCTATTCCCTCAAGCTAAGGTTAGGCCAAACACTTACCTCAATTCCACGGACAAAGTCAAGCCTCAATTACCGCTTTACCTCTCGGTTCCACTTCCAATCCGCTTGTATCTAGTCATAATTTACTTAATAACATCAATAAATGCTAAATAAACCAATTCTAATGCATGAATATAGATTTCCCAATGTTTTTTCAAAAAAGTCATAAACCGACCCCGGGCCCGCTTGGTCAAAACTCGAAGTTCGAACCAAAACCCGATTACCCATTCACCCACGAACTCAAATATGCAATTGGTTTTGAAATCCGACCTCAATTTGAGGTCCAAATCCCCAAAACTCGAAAATCCTAATTTCTACCCAAGAGTACCCAATTTCCCATGAAAACCCCTAGATTTGAAGTGAAATCATGTAAAAAGATGAATTAGATTGAAGAAGATGAGTTAGAAATCACTTACCTATGATTTGGAGAAGTTTGAGTCTTTGAAAAATCGCCTAGGGATGCTTGTGGTTCGAAATTTTAAAGAATGAAGTTGAAATCCCGTCTGAAATCTCACTTAACAGGTTGCAGTTATCACAATTGTGAACCCTATAAATTTCTGCTGCCTTCGCATTTGCGATGAAAATGTCGCATTTGCAACATAAGGGGCCTTCGCAATTCCGCCAAAATGTCGCATTTGCGAGGATGGCCTGCCCAGGCCTAGTTCGCATTTGCGACATTATTGTCACATTTCCCAAGCCTGCTCACTTCGCAATTGCGAGATCAGAGGCCTGTGCAAAACACCAGATGTATCAGCTGAGTTTTCCTAAGTTCTAATCACTCCGTGGCCTATCCAAAACTCACCCGAGCCCTCGGGGCTCTAATCCAAACATGCACGCAAGTCTAAAAACATCAACGGACTTGCTCGTGTGATCAAATCATCAAAATAACATCAACAACTACGAATTTAACCTCAAATTCATGAAATTCTTAAGAACATTGAAATTTTCCATTTTCTCAACTAAGGGTCTGATTTATGCCAAATCAACTCCGATTCTGACCAAATTTCACAGATTTGACTTAATTATTATTTTAAACCTGTACCGGGCTCCGGAACCAAAATACGGGCCCTATACCATCAAGATCATACACCATTTCATTTCCAAAAATTCTTATATTTTCTAGTAAACAATTTTCTTTTAAAATTCTTTTCTCGGGCTAAGGACCTCGGAGTTCGATTCCGGGCATCGCCCAAGTCCCATATTTTACTACGGACCCTACGAGATTGTCAAATCACGGGTCCGGTTCCGTTTACCAAAAATATTGACCAAAGTAAACTTTAACCAATTTTAAAGGCCAAATTCAATATCTTTTTCTTAGATTTCACATAAAAGCTTTCCGGAAATGCGCCCGGACTGCACAGACAAATCGAGGAGAAAGAAAAAGAGGTTTTCAAAGCGTCGAAACCCGGATTCGGGTTCTAAAACAAAAGATGACCCTTTGGGTCATCACATTCTCCACCTCTAAACAATCGTTCGTCCTCGAACGGACATAGAAAAGTACCTGAGTCGGTGAAAAGGTGGGGATATCGGCTCCACATATCGGACTCGGATTCCCAAGTCGTTGCCTCAACATGCTGACCTCTCCACTGCACATGAACTGAGGGGAAACTCTTCGATCTCAACTGACGAACCTGCCGGTCTAGAATAGCTACCGGCTCTTCCTCATAGGTCAAGTCCTTGTCCAACTGGACAGTACTGAAGTCTAACACGTGGGATGGATCACCGTGATACTTCCGAAGCATGGACACATGAAACACTAGATGCACAGCTGATAAACTCGGCGGCAACGCAAGTCTGTAAGCCACCTCTACCACTCGATCAAGTATCTCAAAGGGCCCGATGAACCTAGGGCTTAGCTTGCCCCTCTTCCCAAATCTCATCACGCCCTTCATGGGCGACACCGAAGCAACACTCGCTCTCCGACCATGAATGCCACATCTCGAACCTTACGGTCGGCGTAACTTTTTTGCCTGAACTGAGCTGTACGGAGCCTATCCTGATTGATCTTAACCTTGTCCAAGGCATCCTGTACCAAATCTGTATCCAACAACCGAGCCTTCCCCAGCTCAAACCACCCAACTGGCGACCGACACCGTCTACCATATAATTCCTCATAGGGAGCCATCTGGATGCTCGACTGATAGGTGTTGTTGTAGGCGAACTCCGCTAATGGCAAGAACTGATCCCACGAACCTCCAAAGTCATTAACACATGCTCGGAGCATATCCTCCAAAATCTGAATAGTACGCTCGGACTGTCCGTTCGTCTGAGGATGAAATGTTGTGCTCAACTCGACCCGTGTAGCCAACTCACGCTGAACTGCCCTCCAGAAATGCGAGGTAAACTGCGTACCCCGATCGGAAAAGATAGACACAGGCACACCATGAAGACGAACAATCTCCCGGATATAGATCTCAGTTAACCGCTCTGAAGAATAGGAAACTACCACGGGGATGAAATGCGCTAACTTAGTCAGCCTATCAACAATAACCCATACCATATTGAACTTCCTCTGAGTCCGTAGGAGTCCAACAACAAAGTCCATGGTGATACGCTCCCATTTCCACTCAATAATCTCAATCTTCTGAAGCAAACCACCAGATCTCTGATGCTCGTACTTTACCTGCTGACAATTGAAACACCGAGCTACATATGCAACAATATCCTTCTTCATCCTCATCCACCAATAATGCTGCCGCAAATCCTGATACATCTTAGCGGCAGCCGGATGAATAGAATACCGGGAACTATAGGCCTCCTCTAGAATCAACTCACGAAGTCCATCCACATTAGGCACACAAACTCGACCCTGCATCCTCAAAACTCCGTCATCTCCAACTGTAACTTGCTTGGTACCACCGTGCCGCACTGTGTCCCTAAGGACTAGCAAATGGGGATCATTATACTTCTGATCTCGGATACGCTCAAATAATGAAGACGAAGCAACTGTACAAGTTAAAACACGGCTGGGCTCAGAAATATCCAACCTCACGAACTGATTGGCTAACGCCTGAATATCCAAAGCAAGCGACCTCTCACCGACCAGAATATACGCAAGGCTGCCCATACTAGCTGACTTCCTACTCAAAGCATCGGCCACCACATTGGCCTTCCCCGGATGATACAAGATGGTGATATCATAGTCTTTCAGTAGCTCCAACCACCTTCTCTGCCTCAAATTTAGCTCCTTCTGCTTGAACAAATACTGTAGACTCTTGTGATCCGTGAATACCTCACATGTCACGCCATATAAATAATGCCTCCAAATTTTCAGCGCGTAAACAATGGCTGCTAGCTCCAAATCATGAACTGGATAATTTTTCTCGTGAATCTTCAACTGCCGCAAAGCATATGCAACAACCTTGCCATTCTGCATCAACACCGCACCCAGTCTAATA